ACCACTGAGCCACCTTCCCAGCCCCTCTTGTGAACTTGTATGCCCAGTGAGAATAACAAATACTATATATAGGCTTGGGCCACCATACTGGGTATGTATGAATAAAGTTTGTTAATAGGCACTTAAAATACATATATACCTAAAGCAAATGTTAAATGATAAATGTTGGACATATATTGTAAGACATAGGAAAGTCCAATTTGCTGGGGAATAGGCAAAATTAAAACACTATATTACAACATGTAACCTGAAGTTAATATATACTCAGGTTCTCATAAAAGACAGGTAAGTAAAAGGGAAAAAATGCTGGGAAGTGACTTAGTGGTAGAGTGCTTGCCTAACATTCATGAAGCCCTGGGTTCAATTCCTTGGTACCACATAAACAGGAAAAGCTGGAGTGGTGCTGTAGCTCAAGTGGTAGAATGTTAGCTTTGAGTAAAAGAAGCTCAGAGACAGTGCTCAAGCCCTGAGTCCAAGCCCCCAGGACTGGCAGAAAAAAAGGAGAAACCAGAAAGAATAAAAACAACAAGGTAAAGTAGAAGCACATTAAATATTAGAAGCAAACTCAAATGTACTGAACATACTGGTAATCCGGCACAGTTGTAATCCTAGCACTCAGAAGTGGATACAAGAGAATTACAAACAACTCAAAACTAGCTTGAGCTATATGGTAAAACCCTGTCTCAAAAAAAGGCTAAGAACGATGCTGGGGATGTGGCTTTGTGGTAGAGTACTTGTCTAGCATGCATAAAGCTCTGGGCTCGATTCCTTAGTACCACATAAACAGAAAGAGTCAGAAATGGCACTGTGGCTGTGAATAAAAGAAACTCAAAGACAGTGCCCAGATTCTTAGTTCAAGCCCAAGGAAACAAAAAAAAAAAAAAGCTAAAAAAAACTGTCTCAAAAAGGGTTTTAAAAAAGGGCAAGGGAGTGGGCACTGGTGGCTCACACCTATCATCCTACCTACTCAGAAGACTGAGACTTGAGGATCATGGTTCAAAGCCAGCCCAGGCAGGCAAATCCATGAGACTCTTATCTCCAATTAACCACAAGAAAACCAGAAGTGGTGCTGTGGCTCAATTTTTAGAGGGCTCACCTTGATCTGAAGAGCTGAGGGTCAGAGCCCAGGCTCAGAGTTCAAACCCTATAACCCACAGAAGAAAAAAAAAGGGGGGGGAGGCACGAAGGGCTAGAGGTATGGCTGGTAATACTTATAGTTGATCCAAAGCATTGCATAAGATTTTAAGATATATATTAAAAGGGGCAACAAGTGTAAAAGGATTACATTCTCAAGTTAAAACCAAGCTTAGCAAACTGGATAAAGAATATACCCTAAGCTGGATGAGCTACTCAGGAGGCTGAGATCTGAAGATCAAGATTTGAAACCAGCCTGGGCAAGAAAGTCCATGAGACCTATCTCCAATTATCCACAAAAAGCCAGAAGTGGAGCTGTGGCTCAAGTTGTAGATTGCTAGCCTTTGAAAAGCTGAGGTACAGCACCTAGGTCCCGAGTTCAATCCCCAAGACTGGCAAAAAAAAAAAAAAGGAAAGAAAAGGAAATTCTCTAGATACATACTATATACAAGAGAGAGGCCCTAAATATACAAAGAAAAACTGAAAATGGAAGAATATAAAAAAGACAATAGGCCAGGCACCATTGGCTCATACCTATAATGCTAGCTATTCTGGAGGCTCAGATCTGAGGACTTAATTTCAAAGCCAGCCCAGGCAGGAAAATCTGTGAGAGCCATCTCCAATAAACCACCAGAAAACCAGAAGTGGTGCTGTGGCTCAAGTGGAACAGTGCTTGCCTTGAGTTTAAGAGCTGAGGGACATGGGGCTGGGAACGTGGCTCAGTGGTAGAGGCTTGCCCTGCATGCCTGAGGCTCTGGGTTCAATTCCTCAGCACCACATATGCAAAAAGAAAAAAGCCGGAAGTGGTGCTGTGGCTCAAGTGGTAGAGTGCTAGACTTGAACTGAAGAGCTGAGGGACAGCGCCCAGGCCCAGAGTTCAGGCCCCACAACTGGACCCAAAAAAAAAAAATTTTTAAGGCAAATACAGGTATTAATACAAAAGGCATAACTCAAAAAAAATCACCTTCATATATTAACATCTCTACCTATTATTGATTTATCACAAAGAATGAATTAAACTCCCCCCAAAACCCAGCAACAACAGAACTATCAAAATAGTTTCATATTTCATTATTTCTATCTCATTCAAGAGAACCCCATGCCCAAGAACTGGAACAGACATGCTTTTCAAGTTCATGTAGTTTTGTAAAATGATTAAACACTAGGTCACAAAGTTGCCTCCATAAATTCCAAAGACCATAGTCCCTGACTACAACCTAATAAGTTATAACTCAAATAACAAAAATATATCTAGCAAAATATTGTATTTGAAATTTTAAAATACTTCACTAAAATTTTTTTAAAATCTCAATTTCAAGCCGGGTGCCAGTGGCTCACACCTGTAATCCTAGCTACTCAGGAGGCTGAGATCTGAGGACTGTGGTTCAAAGCCAGCCCGGGCAGGAAAGACCGTGAGACTTATCTCCAATAAACCTAGAAAACTGGAAGTGGTGCTGTGGCTCAAGTGGTAGAGCAGGGATATCGCCCAGGCCCAGAGTTCAAAGCCCCATGACCGACCAAAAAACAAAAAAAATCTGTTTCACGATACGGATGAATCTCGAAGTTAACTCAAGTTACAGAAGAATAAAGACTGATTCAGTTATTTGTTAGAGATAAGACCACAATTCACACAAAATTCAGTCTAGTGGCTATCTCTGGGTGGCAATAGGATTGAGTAAAATGGATATATAAGGGACCTCTACAGCTCTATTAGAATTCCATTTTTTTAATTGAGGACTAGAGATCTGGGCAACCATTTTTTTTATATTTTGCAGTATGGAAATCAAACCTAGGGCCTATATATAAACAATCTACCACTGAGCTGTATCTCTAGTCAAGTGCTTTTTTTTTTTTTATTTTTGTGCTAGTCCTGGGGCTTGAACTCAGGGATTGGGTGCTGTCCTTGAGCTCTTTTGCTCAAGTCTAGCACTCTGACATTTGAGCCAAAGCTCCACTTCCAGCACTTTTATATTTTAGCAGTTTATTGGAGATAAGAATCTCACAGAGAGACAGGTGCTGGTAGCTGACACCTGTAATCCTAGCTACTCAGAAGGCTGAGATCTGAGGATCTCAGTTCAAAGTCAGTCCGGGGTAGGAAAGTCAGTGAGACTCTTACCTACAATAAACCACTAGAAAACCCGGAAGTGGTGCTGTGGCTCAAG